AGGCAAGAAGAGAGAGCGAATCCTCGTCCGGTGGCTCCTGGTTATATCCCTCTGCTGGCTTCTCCCGCCAGCCGCTGGCCTCAATCTCTAATGTTTCATCGGTTGTTTGCATTAAACAGAGGATTGGTAACTTTTCCCACAATTCAATATATGCTTAGACTAACCGGCCTTTTCTCCTCCATCTTCTCATTCATCACCTTTCCATGTTACCACATTCTAAACGCTGTAATCAATACTCTTAAAAAATACAGAAATACTTGACTGGCTGGTTTGGTTTTCCCGGTTCTTCCCGGATGTTTGTCCACACTGCTAACTCTTCCGTACTGTAAACCAATACATGTATTTCAAATAAACTGTAACCTTCATTTAATATTCAGCATGGTAGTATCTCGACATCTATAGTTGTAGTGGTTAAATCAGTAGGTTTCGGTTTGCACCACTCATGTCATTTCCGCTAGTAAAATTCACCTCTTAGGGAATCGGTATAATTATGAGCCACATGCTAAATGCTAACCGGAGATGAAGGATTTTCAGAATAAAAGCTTAACTGGTTGTGCACGAGAATTTTTGTTTTTTTCAGTATAAAACAGCGTTTAAACTGACGGTATGTTTAAGCTACATTATACCATCAAAACATTGATTTTAATTTCTAACAACAGCCAGGAGTGTGTTGAGCCATCCAACTCTGCCGGTCCCCCTCCCCGAAAAAAAAGAAAAAGCGCTTTGCTACAGTTCCCGGAGGCAGAGGCGGACAAGGAGGAGGACCGCTTCAACCGCCAGCAGGCAGCCTCGGAGGAAGCCTCCGCCAAATTCCTCAAGCTGTTATTAAGCCAGTGTTCGAGGGTCTGGTGGACCCGAACACCCTGTATGTAATATAAATGTGTAGGGGGGGGGGTACAGTGGGTGGTCACTGAAAATGTGACCACCCACTGTCCTTTATTTATCCAGGTGAAATCCCAATGAGATCATTGATTTCTTTGTCAAGGGAGACATGCAGAGCCAAGGCCATTGAGTGAGTTAGAGAAAATAAATTATCAATTTTCTTTAGAAAAATAATAAACGGGTCCCACAGACCCGAACACCATACAAGGGTTACATCAAGCATGAAGCCTTCTTTACAATTAGACATACAGAAACACACATGTTTACTGAAGATACAAGGAGATCTTTATTTTATACAAAGCTGAATATACATTTTATGATTGTGACCTGACTGAAAAGCCAACGTTTTTAAAGTCTTTTTGCAAACCAAGGCATAACTGTCTATAGTCATACAGAAAGTCATGGCCACTGATTTCCGCTTTTTAAATCTCCACCTCAAATAATTCTGCGCATAAACCAACCGTGTGTAAAGTATCCAAAATGCAATATCAGGGATGTTTTATTATAAATAATATATACATTAACATTGAGGCAAGTTACTGCATGTAGCTCAAACCCTACATAAGTAAAATTGCTAACTGTCTCTTCTTTCTTTTCAAGTTCAGTCAAAGCATAACAATATTTTATCACTGAACATGACTAAATTTCAACACTAAACGTAACACTTTCTTAAGAGATTGTGTGATGGCCTATTTCACATAACTTGGCAATAATAAACTCGAGCAAGGTGAAATCAGAAATAAGGCATATAAATGGAGGAACAAAAGAACAGAGAAATGCATCTGGCCAGTAAATGCATTTTTCATCGGTGAAGAAAACAAACGGGTAACAAAAAAACTGGCCATAAATAAAAATCCTCTCAACAATAATCGTGGTCGTTCAGCTGGACCGGGTGTGTCAGGAGCCCAGATTTGGTCTGCCAGTCTGTCTCTCCGGCCCTGTCCACCTCGCTCCCCCCTCACAGGACGAGGTGGAGACCTCTCTACCCCCTCCTGCTCCTCCTCTTCCTCCTCTTCCTCCTCCTCCTCCTCCTCTTTCTCCTCCTCTTCCTCCTCTTCTTCTTCTTCTTCATCTTCTTCCTCCTCCTCCTCCTCCTCCAACAGTTCAGTCATGTCTGCAGTAATGCTGAGATTGTGCAGTACACAGCAGGGAGAAAGGTGTGGTTCACCTCCAAGGCCTTGGACAGGAGGCACCTCCATCGCCCCTTCAGTATCCCCAAAGCGCGCTCAATGATGCTGCGCGCTTTGGCAGGTGAAGCCGTTGAAGCGGCTCTGTACCCTCCCCTGTAGTGGCTCCCGATACGGGGTTACGACCGTTATGGGGTGTACAATGCACGGATAGCCACCATCTCCCACAATAAAGTACCCTGGTGGAGGGTACAGAGCCTCTTTGTATAAGGTATTGTTTTTTAGGACACGGGTGTCGTGCACTGAGCCCGGAAATCCTACGAATGTTTGTAGGAATTTACCCTTCCCATCGCACAGCCTGCAGCTGTATGGAAGGAAAGAGCTTCCGATTTATGTAGTCCTGGCCACTGGGTCCGGGTGGGGTCTTTATTCTAATGTGGCACCCATCAATGGCACCCACACATGAACTAAATGCCGGGCTATCGGCCAACTGCTGGAAGCCCTGCCCGACCTCCTCCAGCTCTGGACCAGCAAGCAGCCTGATCACAGACTGCCTGAGAGCAGCGATGTCCTCCACTCCCTGGTGGACCAGTCTGTGGACCGTGGAGAGGGGTACCTGAAAGGCCCGGGACACCACACTGTATGACAAACCGTGTGCCAGCCAGTACACAGTTGTCAATACAGTCATGTGGTGTCCCCAGGCCTGTCTCCTCTCAGGCCCCAGACACCGCATCAAGGCCTCCAGGGAGTCTCGGCTCATCCTGAAGTCCTTCAGCAGGCACCCATCTCCGAAGTACAGCTCCAGCACCGGGACACTGCTGTTCAAACTTTTGTATGAGTGTGGGTGTTGAACCTGCAGGAAGAATAAAATGTACAGGTCAATACCTTTATCCATCAAACTAAACTGCACATACATATTCTGTCATAACAAATTAATCCATTGTTGTATTCCAATGAAAAAAGCCAGCTATTTTTCAACTATTTAAAACAATTGTAATCAAACACTCAAATACCTCAAGATGAAGCAGGATGGCTTTGCGCATTCTCGCTTTCCAGCGCTGGGATCGGCGTCTCTCCTGATTCCTGTTGTTGGTCAGAAGTTTTTGCCACTGCCGTAAGGCACATGCTACAGCGGGTTTCATGACTCAATTTGTTTCATGTGGTCACTGAATATGTTTTTCGTTGTTGAGATTTAAATCACAGGTGTGCCTGGACCTTATATAGCCTGTCAGGTCCCTCATGATTCGTTAATTACGTGGATTATAAATTCGTTGCAGGTGTTTTGTGAAAGAGGTGTGAGTTGATGATTTATCATGTCATTTAGCCTACTAGTTTAAAAAGGTTAACATAGCTCTTTAGGATGGCAGCTTATTCTTACGCTGCACTCGGAGAGAAATATTCCTCTGCTTCACAGGTGATTCCTTCGCTCCGCCGAGCTAACTTAGAAGAGAACAAAGATAGACAGTGTACACGTGCATCAGGTGAACACACCCTCATTTACATGACGCAAGCCTGGTCATTACTTACTGTAGCACGTAATACTACAATGCCTCACAGTCGTACAATAACAGTATTACATCCCTATAGTACAGAAGAGACACAATCTCTCTATACATACAATAACTGAGGACATACAGTGTGTAAACATTTCCCTTAACAATAGCCTATAGTGTATAGACAGTCATTGTTTGTTTTTTTGTGTGTGCATGTGTGAATATATGAAACGTACATAAGCCTCATGTAGCCTATATGTCTCCCTTTATTTGTAGGGTACTTTTTATTATAATGTTTTAGTGCTGCCCAATACAGAAGAGATGCTAGTATGTGTCGAAAATACTCATACATTCGTGTCATACTTGTTGCAAATGGAATTAAAAGTAAATATGTGGGGGAACAATGTTCAGCTGATCTAACAGAGATTACAAAATACAGCGCTCTAACAAAGCACTCACAGCTGATGCAGCTGTTGCCACGTCATAATTAACGGACGTCGCTTTAATATGACCGCGCAGAGGAGAGGAGTTCTCACTTCTCTAACCGCCTGCTGCTTCCCCTCCTCTCTCCTTGGCTCGCATCTCCTGTGGGCGGGACTAAGTATCAAGGATAGGAGTCGAAGAGGGGAGTTGGAGAAATGAGAAAGGGCCCCGCATATACCCTGTTATTATAAATTGCAATCTAAAATGGTTTTTATTCCTTTAGTTTTCCACAAACTCACACACACACAGAGAACTTCAGAAAATATTTTTATTTTAGAAATTGTCTCAAAAATGTTCAATATTGTAGAAATGAAACTTTGGCATCCAAGCAGAGGAAAAGTGTCTCTTCTTATTTCCATTTAAACAAATGAAAGACATCGTAGAGATTCCTACATGTACTTTTTTACAAATGTGTACATCTTTTAAAGTCTCGGGATTATTTGAACACGAAACCTGAGAGCGTTATAGTGGGTGAAGAGCTGAACACAACAATATGAATATCGTTTACAGGCAAGAATACAACATGTGGAAAAAGCTAATAATAAATTGATATTTATTCGGCTTTAAATTCAGCAGCGTTTCCTACGATTGGTAACGAAAGCTATTTCTGCAAAACTGTAATATGAACTGAAGCTATAAGGAAGAATAATACTCGTATATAATATCAATCACCTCCAGAGTGTTCCTTTTAACACTTTTTCTGCAGATATAGCTTCTTAAAAAACCCTAAAAGCAATGGTGTATTATAACAATGAAAACTTTGGTCGATTATCTTATCCATATATATTCCTTTTCACACTATGATCCAACATTATATCTGAGAGAGGAAGTGGTTTTGGATAATTACAAAAATAAGGCTTTATAAATGAAAATTAACGCATTTATTTCAGATATACTTCAAAATGTAAAGAGACATAACTTGTCTTTCCACCAAGTGTCTGCTGACGAACCGAATGAAATCTGCCGAGTGTATCTTTTTGGTTTATTCTTACACGTGAGCTAACCGTTGTGCAAGCTGACCTGGATTTCTCTAGATCGCCAACTTTCTGTATTTGCTCTGTGTGTTTGAGATAACACACAGATCCCATTTCTCACACTTAGGAAAAGAAAGCGTTAAGTCACTTGGAATTTGGTCTGATATTTTTGCTCCACATACAGGAGACATAAAGGCACATTACTGTTCTTCTCATGGCACTGCTGAACAAATCTCCAAATTGACAGTTAATTGAGAAGCTAAAACAAAAATGTGGCGGATCAGAAGCATCCTGAATTGACACGAGAGCGCTTAAATTATAGAAAACATAAATAACATTTTATAGCATATGAACCTCCGCGGGTGAGAGAGTAAGCATCAAATTGCTGGATTTATGAATGGAGATTGGTGGAGCATTGTTACCGAGACGATTCGGGTTTATTCCACACGCTTTAGGAGACTTCTTTGTTCCAAACAACAGGTGGAAACAAACCAGAATCATCCTTTAACACAATGTTTTAGTTTGAGCATGCCACCTTTATAAGATGGCAGGAATGAAAGGAATGTGGATATAAAAAAAAACATCCAAACCCGAGTCACACTGCATGTTTATCAGCTGGTCTGGAATCAGTTTGCAGTAGTTCAAGCACACAGGAAGAGCGGAAAAAGACTCTTTGAAATAATAATAATAATAATAATAATAACAAAAAAAGTGATTTTTCTTAATCATCCACAGAAAGGTCTGCTTCTCCCACAAACTCATCTACTATCCAAACCACCGTTAAAAAAATGAATGATTATCCTGCTTGGGTTCATCGAGCAGCTTTGGCTTAAATCTTCTATTCCAGTTTGGTCTTCGTCCTCTTCCTCCTCCAGCAGTCTTTGGTCAATCCTCTCTCTCTCTCTCTCTCTCTCTCTTTGTGATTGATAATGATTAATCAGCTGACCGTAAACACTCCTCTGATCCTTCAGGGGACGACACTCATCTGAACAGACACAGAAAACAGAAATCAGATCAACAGCGACATGTCACAGCGTGTTGAAGTCCAGGAAACGTTTCTATATCCTGTGTTTGTTGTTGTTGTGGTGAAAACATTTACTCGACATAACAATCGTACCTTTACTTCAAAATAAAGTATAGTTGTGTCAATCTTCTCTTTTTCCTAAATTGATCTCACGGACGCATTTAAATATTTTTTGGAACATTTGATTTTTTACTTAAAAGGTCTCCTATGATACTCTTTACCATCAATATATTATAGTTCTCAGATATATACAAAACATGTCTCTGATTGGCTGAAACACCAAACAGATCATTGCAGCATTACCCATAATCCCCTCTGTTTCAGCCCTGTTTCCAAAGTGCTGATTCTCTGTCTGTTACTTTAGATGAAAATAAGGAGCCCCTCCCCACGCCCCTCTGAGAGANNTTTATTATTATTGTTAATAAATGTTTGATTTCGGTCTAACTTTGTTTCAAGGATGCATTTTTCCTTTACTCTCAACACAGGGTTTGTTTAATTACTACTGCCACTACTACAACAATTATAATAGAGGTAACATCTGCACATAGTGNCCTGTCAGGTCCCTCATGATTCGTTAATTACTTGGCTTAGAAATTCGTTGCAGGTGTTTTGTGAAAGAGGTGTGAGTTGATGATTTATCATGTCATTTAGCCTACTAGTTTAAAAAGGTTAACATAGCCTATAGTATAGTGTATAGACAGTCATTGTTTTTTTTGTGTGTTTGTATGTGTGCATGTGTGAATATATGAAACGTACATAAGCCTCATGTAGCCTATATGTCTCCCTTTATTTGTAGGGTACTTTTTATAATAATGTTTTAGTGCTGCCCAATACAGAAGAGATGCTAGTATGTGTCGAAAATACTCATACATTCGTGTCATACTTGTTAAAAGTAAATATGTGGGGGAACAATGTTCAGCTGATCTAACAGAGATTACAAAATACAGCGCTCTAACAAAACAGTCACAGCTGATGCAGCTGTTGCTACGTCATAATTAACGGACGTCGCTTTAATATGACCGGCAGAGGAGAGGAGTTCTCATTTCTCTAACCGCCTGCTGCTTCCCCTCCTCTCTCCTCGGTTCCACTCCTCGGCTCACATCTCCTGTGGGCGGGACTAAGTATCGAGGATAGGAGTCGAGGAGGGGAGTTGGAGAAATGAGAAAGGGCCTATGTCTCCTTAAATATCCTTGCGTCAGAGTCTCACGTGTTGGGCGTGCTCTCTTCTGACCATATTTGGAAGTACAACTTCCTACAACTTCCTACAGGTTCAACCTCCACTGTCCGCGCCTGCTGTTTACTCGACATTGAGAAACGGCCACCACCTGTATTTATTGTCCTCTCAAGACAGGAAGGAGTAGGAGTCATGACATACAGGATATAGTACAACTAGTTCCTGAACAGCTTCACTTCTTAGTGTGTGGAGAAGAAGAAAAATAAAAAGAAGAAGAAGAAGAAGAAGAAGAAGAAGAAGAAGAAGAAAAGCTACACGGTGTAGCTTTTCTTCTTCTTCTTCTTCTTCTTCTTCTTCTTCTTCTTCTTTTTATTTTTCTTCTTCTCCACACACTAAGAAGTGAAGCTGTTCAGGAACNCAGACAGACAGACAGACAGACAGACAGACAGACAGACAGACAGACAGACAGACAGACAGATAGATAGATAGATAGATAGATAGATAGATAGATAGATAGATAGATAGATAGATAGATAGATAGATAGATAGATAGATAGATAGATAGATAGATGGATGGATGGATGGATGGAGAGGAGAGAGAGATAGATGGATAGATGGATGGACGGACGGACAGACAGACAGACAGACAGACAGACAGACAGACAGACAGACAGACAGACAGACAGACAGATAGATAGATAGATGGATAGATGGATAGATGGATAGATGGATAGATAGATAGATAGATAGATAGATAGATAGATAGATAGATAGATAGATAGATAGATAGATGGATGGATGGATGGAGAGAGAGAGAGAGAGAGAGAGATGGATGGATGGATGGACAGACAGACAGACAGACAGACAGACAGACAGACAGACAGACAGACAGACAGACAGACAGACAGATAGATAGATAGATAGATAGATAGATGGATGGATGGATGGAGAGAGAGAGAGAGAGAGAGAGATGGATAGATGGATGGATGGATGGATGGACGGATGGATGGATGGACAGATGGACCACTTTTGGACAAAATGTACTCTCAATTAAGGGCAGCTCATTCTGGAATAGCCTCCCAACTGAGATACGGGATTGTCCCACTTTGAA